ATTATATATATCTTCAAATGATTTTTTATTAAAATAAAATGATACTCTACATGTATAAAATTAGGATATTAATATGATGAAAAAATACATGTATAAATAACACTTTTAAACATGTAAAAAGTATAAGGCAATTATCACATGATCGGAAATTTGCCCTATAGTATATCTTCTTCAAGAATCTTTGTCCTTTAAAACATCATAAATCGATGGATATATGAAAAATATCGAACATACTGGACATCAAATATGGAAATAAAATAAATAAGGCAGGGATGGAATATACTGTGAAAAGTGGAAAAGGATATCATAAATAAGAAAGATGGAAGCGGAAGATAAGATGCGGATCAATATACTCGAAACAAGACTTTTTAATTATTTTATTTACTGTCATCGTAATACTAAAGTTAGTAAAGTATAAATATATTGTATAAATAGTGTCGAGAGAAAGTTTTTTTAGCAAACATGTCACCATCAAGTTGTATATTAGATAAATTTAATGGTATATATGATGTCAAATAATGGTGGTTATATAAAAATAACTACTGTAATTACGTGTTCAGAGAAAAAATTTTTTTTGTGCGATTTAAAATTTTTTTTTTCATTTTGTATTAATTAATTATTTAATATTAACTTAATTTATAGTTTACTGATTTATTGATTTATAAACTTTTTGTTTAATAAAACATTTTTTTTTTATTCCTAAAGTTTGAATTTATTAGATTAAGATTAGATTATAAATTTGGTTAAAAGAAGTTTTGTAATGATGCCATTTTATATGGAGAAAATAAATTCTTTAATTTGCAAGACTACAAGGAGAAGAGATATCTTAATATGAATAGTTCGAAATATATAAATTATTAATTACACAACTTTTCTCTCTATAATGAGCATCTTATTAAGAGCTCCTACAACTCTTGTAATTTTTGTCCCATAAAATATCCCACATAATAATAAAAAGCCTGAAAACTCCATAAAAGAATTTAAAGTATAATGAACAAAATAAAAAAAAGATGATTAAAATTCGCTAGAAATTGATAGTGTTGCATGTAAGGTTGTGGGCGAAACCTCTTAATGACTGTCGAAACTCTGTCGAAACTCTAATGAACAATTAATGTGTAACCTG